CAATAACGTAGCTCCATTTTCTGCCTTTAAAAGCACACACAACCCACAATTCGCTCCGACGAAGGTGCTAACGCTCGAAACGTCAGCTTTTGTAATCATTACGGTGGCCAATTTTACCATTTCAACTTTGTTGATATATCCAAATTATTTCGTTACTCCCACCGACGCAGCCCCAAACAGTTTCTTTCGAAACTATCAGCCCTGAAATTCTAGATAATGGAGTGAACCTTCAACAAGGGATAATTAAAGATCTCTCTGTTAAATTGTTAGCAAAATGGTGTTAACTTGTGAGTATCGTTACAAGCTCGTTGCATGCAAATTATAAAGATAATCTAATGACTAGAATTTCTACAAATAAACAAAACCGATTTTAAAGGCCCGTTTATATTTATTCAAGTCGCCATGGCAACGACACATACATCAGCTTAGCTATCAAAAAAAACAAAGTTTGTGTTGTTAACTTGCTTGCTGCCAGTTTTGGCGACCGAGAAATCAAAGGTCTTAGAGAAAATGGTAAAAGAAACACAGGTATCAAAAACTGTGTTCAGCCACCTTAAGCCGTTGTTTTTTTTGTGTTGTTGTTGTTGCTGGCAAACAGGAGGACTGCGCAACAGCTTATGGGGTTTGGTACGACATGTATGATGCGCCCTTCCCTGCGGGGAAATGGAATGACATACAGTGTAGTGTCACGACTTACTTCATTTGCGAGAAAAATGGTAAGTCCAGTTGCTGGCCGTTTTACTCATCGTTTTTACATGACGTCACGGCCAAGTTGGTGGCCAAGTCTATCTTGTACATGTTGTGTTAAGACTATTGTCTTTGTTGATATTCCGGTCTCCACCTAATTTTCACTCATTTCTTTAGCTGTAGGAGCAGTGATTCCAATTTAATTGTCTATGTTTTATTTGTCAAAAATCCTCGTAAACTGCCATCCAAACGGGAATAGGTTGATGATCCCAATGCAATAAGGAAATAGTAGGTTAGATCTACCCTTTATCAGTTTAAGAGTCATATTTTCACGACCCTGCGATCTTCTGCTGTATGGTAACCTTAGTTCCCTTATTTATGAAGAAGCAAAATGTTCTCAAGAGTGATACTGTCCTTTGATGAATTATTAATAACAATCATTGTAAACGAGTTGTTGTTGTTTTCTTTTTTCAGCCGACTGCGGTTCAGTGGTGAATAACACTTTGAAAAGTCCAAACTATCCTAAAGGCTATCCACACAACATGAAGTGCAGTTATTCAGTACCTATTCCACCTGGCAAGAGAATGAAAATCAAGTTTCAATACTTTAAGTTGCCTGATCCTATTACTGATATGTTTCAGTGCTTGTGAGTAATGATCGATTGTTAACCCCATGCGTACAAAGGGGAGGTGGGGGAGGTGGTAGAATTAATGTTCAACTCCTCCCCCCTTCACCTCATTAACTCTGAAAACGAGATAATTTTATCTTTTCGATGATTATGAACAGAACTGAATAATAAGCCAATGTAGTTTCGAATCCATGGCTGTCCCGTGATAACAGCACAAAGTACTTTTTGCCTTCAATAGTTTGAATTCTGAATTTTGTGGGAGAAACGATTTCATGCTTTACGATGAATTTATGTAAAAAAAGAAGTGCTATTGATGATGTTTTTGTTTCACGTCATTTATCTACGCTTGCCTCGAACCATTTCTAACACGCCTCTTTTCTAACTCTGTCTCTCAGTATTATCATTATTTTGTGAATATTTTCACTTCATTTTTGGAATTATTTTTGCTTAATTTTCTTAAAGAGAGGACTTTCTGATGGTTCATAACGAACAAGAGCAATACTTTGGAAGTTATTGTGGTACAGCATTTAGAGAAACCATTTTTGCAACTGGAAATAAAGTGGTCTTAAAGTTCCAATCTCTGGGTGGTTTTGACAGCAATGACAGAGGATTCTTACTACATTTTGAGGCTGCTGACCCACCTGGTAAGACAAGATAGTAGCAACAGAAATGAGAACAGGGGGAACGTTTATATAGAAACTGTGGGGCTGCCTCAGTGGTGGGTATTACGCGAGTATTTGGTTTTATCCACTGAGTTGATAATGTGAATTGGCCATCGTGACGAGATTTTCAAGCGACGTTTCGAGAGTTAGCCTTTGTCAGATTCCCTGTGACGAAGAGCCAACGCTCGAAACGTTAGCTTTAGAATTAAGTCACGGTGGCCGATTCACACAATCAGCAGACGAAATGATTAACTCTGCAGAACCTGGTCCGTTGAAAAGTGAAATATCAAGTATGGTGATTCATGACAAACGGCGCATACAGAAATAGAGGCTCTATATTATTCATCTCTTTACTTAGCTGAGTCAAGTCTCCGTGTTGATCAGTAACTGTAGTCCAAAAAAAAGAGAAGGTCCACTTTCTCCTCCCCGACCTCCACCACTTTTCGCTCGTTCCGTTGACTGAGAGCCTGGGAATGGCTAAGTTAGGCACCGCATAAATTTCTGAATGATCTCTTTAGTGCAG